CAGATATATATATATATATATATATATATATACCATCATTAATGGAATGCTTTACATGAACTTTTAATTTGATCCATTCCTGAGATAAAACAAGAAAAAGCCGATTCCTACCAAATGGCCCACCCTCAATCACACTCATGCCTTTTAGGAATCCCAACTTCTTATTACATCAAACACCTAAGCCATGTGATGAAATCTAAAGGAAAATAGAAGGGAAACCTTAAGTTCTTGGTCCCCTCGTGTTCTTCATTTTTTTTTCTTATCTTTTGACATTTCAAACTAAGTTTAGTTTCTTACACACAAAGCAGAAGAGAGCCAAAGTGAGAAAATCATTAAGGCAATGCTAAATTATTTAATTCATGTATCAGCTTAATAAAAAAAAGTTAACTGGCTATAAATTAGTGTTAATGAGATTATTGTATTTCTATAAATAGATTCCATGTGAAGGGATTAGAGGAGGAATGTAAAAACATATATATTGTAAGCCTCTCCCTTTAATTGTGTTTTTTTTCTCCCTCTTCTCATTTATGGAGTTCTCCAATTGATGTCTATGTGTTTTGCTTTTTTTGATTTTCCTCCAATAAATTCTATTTTCGAGCCTATTTTCAGCCACACATGCATCTCCTTGAACTGACTCGCGGTCGGCTTGTATTACTCTTTATTTATAAAAATTATATCTGCATAGTACTAAGTAAAACTAAATATAACAAGACACGAGCTAATTTCAAATCGATTTCGAGTTGGAACATATTCAAATAACTAAATTTGAGTCAATTAGTTTCACTTTTGAGCTGGATCTAGTTGATTTCTAGCTGCAACATATCCAAATAGCTCAATTTAAGCCAGCTCATTCATTTCTATTTTGAGCCGAATCGGGCTCGATTAAATTTTGAGTTAGCTCGGCTCAAAATCAAATATAATGACTCGAAATTGAATTATTAACAATCCTAGCCAGCAAGCTACACCATGACCCAACCTTATTTATTTTATAGAGCTAAAATCAGTCTCGAGCTCTAATAGATTGCAATGTGAGAGAAAACTAGCCAATGAAGGGAAAATATACATTACATAGTGTTACGTGACAAATGATGCTACACACACACACACACACACACACCCACACACACACACACACACACACACACACACACACACACACACACACACACACACACACACACACACACATATATATATATATATATATATATAATTTGATCGAGACACAACTTGATATGACTCCAAAAGAATTTTTGAATTAATTCTGATCGTAGAAAATTTGTTAAAATTCAACGTCAAGTTCTTCTAAGAAATATCACAACTAGGTCTGCTTGGACATAAATGGGCTATTATCATAACCAAGATGGGCCTTTAACCAAACAAGACCCATCAACAGATAATGGCCACGCGGCATCTTCTTCCCCTTCCCCTCATCTTCAGAAGACTCGCACTCAATCGCCCGCTCACTCCGCTCTTCTCCTCCAATTCAACGATGACATCACCTGCAACTAAGAAGGTAAATCCCGGTTGCCAATTTTCCCTCCACCCCTTCTCAGAGCCATACTCACCGATGCAAATTTTTTAGGTACTAATCCCGATCGCTGATGGCACGGAGCCGATGGAAGCTGTGATCACCAGCGATGTTCTTCGTCGAGCCGGCGCTGACGTTACAGTTGCTTCGGTAGAGAAGAATCTGAGGGTGAATGCTTCCTTTGGGATCACGCTTGTCGCCGATGCTCTCGTTGTTGACTGCGAGGGGTCCTCTTTTGATCTCATTTCACTTCCGGTGGGTTTCCTTCTGATCCTTTTGTTCATTATCTTTTCTTAATTGATGCAAAGATTATTTCGATTCATGCTGGTTTTTGGTTGATTTGAGTTTGGGCTGATGCAGGGAGGGATGGTTGGCGCGAATAGGCTTAGGGATTGTGGGGTGTTGGAAAGCATTGTGAAGAAGCATGTTGAGAAAGGGGGTTTGTATGCGGCGATATGTGCTGCGCCGGCTGGTGTGCTTGGATCCTGGGGTTTGCTCAATGGATTAAAGGTAAGATTTTGTCTTATTTTTTTTTTAAATTTTCGTGGATGCTGTGGACTTACTGTTTTATTTGGGAATGCTGAGTAATAAATCTCAGAGCATGTTTCTGTTTTATTTGCGTACATACCACTCAATTGTTATCTTTTTACATATCTAACTCTTAAACATTCATATTTACATGCATACCGCTCAAATCCTGAACATCACATCCAAAATACCATCGTCACTACCTTTCTAAAAGTGAAATACACATATTCATGCATGGTTTTATGACAACAACGTGTTATAAGTGTAAATATCAAATTTTGGGTGTTAGATATGTAAATGCATAAGAATTGTGTGGTGTTTATGTAAATTTCTCTTTCTGATTTTAGAGAAACAACTTTTTTTGCTGATCATTAAGCTGCAAATCCTTTCACACTTAGTACAAGTATATGCTGTTGATGTTGTGAAGTTTGTGCCTTATTGTGATTTTAGTTGTTGGTAGAGATGTCAATTTTTTTTATTAATGCTGTTAGCTTAGCTCAGGATCATCATATTGGCATGCCAATACATATTTACATACATGCATGCCACACAATTCTTATGTATTTACATATTACACAGCCAAACTTTTATATTTACATGTATGTCACTCAATTCTTTAACATTACTTCAAAAATAACACTATTACTTACTTTTAAAAGTGAAATGCTCTTTTCCATGCATGGATTTATAATAACAAAATGTTGTAAATATAAATATCAAATTTCAGGTTTTAGATTTGGGTGATATGTATGTAAATTTCGGCATCATTTATATTAAAATATAGTAATGTGATTTTTCAGATGTCTAGATGTCAGTAAAAGCATTAAAAGTGTTGTTAGTTTTGCAGTTCTATTTAAAAGTGTAAGCAAATTAATTATTTGATATATTTAAATAACATAACATAGCATTAAAAGTGCCTAAACTTAGTTATTGAATGAAATATGGAATATTTCTACTCTTCTCCTCTCCTTTTCTACTAATCTCTTATTTCAGTAATTGTTTTCCTTTTCTTCTCAATGTTGCATTTTAATTTTTGGATGCAGGCAACTTGTTATCCCTCTGTAATGGATAAATTTCCGTCGAATGTTACGAAAATGGAATCGAGGGTGGTTGTGGATGGACGAGTTATTACTAGTCGAGGGCCAGGGACGGCGATAGAGTTTGCTCTGGCTTTGGTAGAGCAATTATATGGGAAAGATAAAGCTGATGAGGTTGGAGGATTTATGGTAAGATATCTTTTGTGCTTTTTCAGCAGAATCTCAATTTAAAAGCATTAATATAAGAGTTCAAATATTTTTCAGATATAGCATATTTTCAAATTTTTAACATAACATATTCACTTACATGCATGTGTATCAAAATTTCCCCTTATTTCAATATATATATATGCCATAGAACATGCATATATATCCAGCAATGTAGGAGGCACCAATGAGTCTTTTACTTTATTAGTGACAAATATTCTTAATTACTGTTATTTTATGTTACTTACATATTAGCTTAATTACTTTATTTGCTTAGCTGCTAATGGGATATATGGTCCACTACAGTTTTGCAAGCAGTTTTTGTAATCCTCCAAAAAAAGTAGTTTCTTTTTTTTTATTTTTCCTGTTTTCTTCTTTTAGTAATTTGGTCATGATGATGTCAGGTTTGCCTTCTTTTTGTTTTTTAGCTTAGTTCAGCTTTACACAGTCATGATTTTATTTCAGCTTGGTTTAGCTAGTCAGATTTAAGTAAAGTTTGCTCAATACAAAATAAACATTTTGGTTTCTAATCTGATTTGAATTTGAATTAAAACACTTTTAAGTTGAGTTACATTTCTAATGATTTTTTTGATTTGTTAATTATTATTTTTTTGCACATTTACATTTAAGGCCTTCGGGCAAAAGTTTCAAGTGTATCCTCAGCACTCACATGAGATTGTAGTTAACTCTTTTAAAGCGTTTTTTTTTTTTTTTTTTTTTATCTCTTGCTGAAATGACGATCTAACAATTTGAATTTTTATGACAATAAATTTATGCGCAAGTAAAATTTTCTATTGGTGACTTACATGTACTTTATGCATGTATGTATGTTGGACTTACTTGAATTTTAGTATAAGATTGATGCTATGAATGCCAATAGTCATAGGGGGTTGATTTATTGATTGCAATTTATAATGAATTACATTAGTTAGTCCAATAGTAATAATATATTATCATTATTAGAAATAATATTTGTTTCTAAATTATGTTCTTTTTTGAAAAAAAAAACTTGGAAATGATTTAAGTAATCATTTTTGGGAAATTAAATGAATTAATTATGTTATAATAATTTTTATTCTCAATAAATTTGCTAATCATTAAGATAAATCTGTTTAATTGAGATATATATCATTTTACAATGATGGAAAATTCATGTTAAAAGATAGTGCTATTGTCACAAATTAAATTAGACTCAACTAATCTTGAGATAACTTGAACACAAGTTTCTACGGGATTTTTTAATTCAGTTCTAACATGATAAGTTATCTCTATCATAATGAATAATCTAATGAGTTATATATATAAACTATAATAGATTATCATATAAATTGTCATCATACTACTTCGAATGCATGCACTTTTTTCAGTTGGCTATCATTCAATTTTTATGCTACCAAAACTTTGGTAACTCAAGTATTCGCCATTGACTCCATAGTAGAAAGCGTGCAAAGGCTTAATTGAGGTCCATATGACCTTGATATACTTTTAAAATTGAGCACGATAATTTGATTGATATGAAGAGGGACATAAATATATATTACAAGACCCAAATAAAAGAAAATGCATAAATTCAGAAATAGGTCAATTAAGAAATACATAAATATAGAAACAAAAAATAAAATAAGCAAATAAAAACTAATAATAATAGCAATAGCAATTAGCCTAATAATTAGACTAATAATCCTAATACCCTAATAATAATAGCAATTAGCCTAATAAAAAGTCCATCATGTTCGACTTGGATAAGAAATCGTCAAACAATGAATGTGGAAGATTCTTGGTAAGGCTATCTACTAATTGACCATTTGATGAGACAAATGGAATATAAATCTCCTCTTAATCGAACTTCTCCTTAATGACTTGTCTGCGAATCTCTTGATGCTTGGTCTGATCATGTTGGACCGGATTATGAGCAATACTTATTCCAACTTTATTATCACAGAACAATAAGAGAGGAGCAGAGACCGACATGCACAATTCACGGAGCATGACGCGTAACCGTATAGCTTCATAGATACCCAAGGACGTGGATTGAATCTCGGCTTCAACACTGCTCCGGGCCACAACCGACTGTTTTTGTTTTTTTCATTTGACAAGATTTATCCACATGAATGAGCAATATCCTGAGGTGGATTGTCGATCATGGACATACCCGACCCAATTCACATATGTAGAACGAGAATTGTAGCTCGAGAAAAACAAACATGAGTCTGGTGTGCCTTTTAAGTAGTGAAATATACTGTGAACAGCTCGGAGATGATGCTCATAGGGATCATACATGAATTGACTCACAATATGTATTGCATGACAAATGTCAAGATGAGTATGAGTGAGGTAATCCCTACAAGCCGTTGGTAGTTAGTCTTGTTCACCGGAACCGCATTGAGAATATTAGCTAATTTTTCATTGGGATCCATTGGGATTGTCACTGGTTTGCAAAGGAGAACGTTAGTCTCTGACAATAGGTCAAGCACATATTTGCGTTGAGACAGACAAATGCCCGAGATGACCTAGCAACGCCCATACCTAATAAGTGCCAGAGTGATCCCAAATCCTTCATTTCAAATGAAGTAGCAAGAAAACCTTTTAGAGACTCCGATATTGGTAGATATTCACCTACGAGCACAATACCGTCGATATAGAGGATAAGAATAGCAATTTTGCCATTGGAAAAATCTCGAAAGAGATTATAATTTGATTGGGACTATGACCCATTACCAACTTTGTGAACCTGTTGAACCAGGCCTTGGAGATTGCTTCAGTCCGTAGAGAGACTTCCACAGTCGACACACGTCTCCGAGGAACAGTAGACTCAGAGTCTAGAGGGAGGCACATGTACCCCTCCCTTATGAGATCCCCATTTAAAAAAATGCATTTTTGACATCTAGTTGGAGCAATGGTCAATCCAAATTCACAGCAAGGCGAGTAGGACCCAAATGGTGTTTAATTTAACAACTGGAGCAAATGTCTCTTCATAATCAATTCTGCGTTTTTGTGGTAGCCTTTTACAACTAACCATGCCTTGTTGTGTTCAAAAGATCCATCAGAGAAACTTGGTGCTAAGAATCCAACGACATCTTGCTGCTTTCTTACCTAAGGAAGATTCACAACATCTCATGTATGATTCTCATGAAGTGTATTCATTTCATCCATTATTGCAGCTTTCCACAAAGGTTCAACTAATGCTACTTCAATAGTAGATGGGAGGTGATAATCCATCGGGCAACAGCAAATGCTTTATAGGTCGGCGATGCACTATGGAAAGAGATCTATTTTTTCATGGAATTTGGAGAGCTTGTTTGATTCCAGGTCTTGTGAAGAAATATAGCAGGTTCCAGAGTAAGAACATGAGTGCGCCAAGTATAGACACTTACATAGAGGTTCTGGTTGTTTGGTAAGACGTGGGTCCGGATGGAAAGAGGACTTCTTGGATATAATGGTTGGAGAAATATCCATAGGGGTCAGATAAGGAATATTGTCCAAGAAATCAAGCTCCTCATCAGTTCAGGTAGTGACAGAGAAATATGGAACACTTTCAAAGAAGGAGACATAAACACTTACATAGAGTTTATTTGTGGTAGGATTAAGATACCGATAGCCTTTTTGAGTGGCAGAATACTCGATGAAGACACATTTTATAGACTCGGGATTAAGCTTACTACGATTAGGGTTAGTATTTCGAATAAAGGTCGTACACCTAAAAATTTTGAGTTCAAGAGTGGTGAACAAATTGTAAGGGAAACATGACATTAAGATGACTAATGGAGTTCTTACATTATAATTTTTTATGGTAATTCTATTGATGGGATAAGTGACAGTAAGACGACATTATTCCAAAACCTTTTTGGGATATTATATTGGAATATAATGGAGCAAACTACTTCAAGAAAGTGTCAATATTTTCTCTCGGTTAATTCATTATGTTGAGGCGTGTCCATACATGAGCTATGATGGTTGATACCCTTATTTACCAAGAAGTCACTTAAAATAGAATTAAAAATTCACAGTCATTGTCAGTTCGAAAGACTTGAATATAAGTTTTTAATTTGGTTAAAATTAAGGAGTGAAAGTTTTTGAAGGTGACAATAGCTTCCTATTTATCTTTTAAGACATGCATCTACGTCATTCAAGTGTGTTCATCAAGAAAGTTAAGGAAGTGTAGCTGGGATTGCGAGAGAGTCCCCATAAGTCACTGTGAATAAAAGAAAATGGAGTAGAAGACTTGTAAGGATGAGATGGATAAGGAACGCTGTGATATTTAGCTAATAGACAAATCTCACATTTGAAGTTAGCAAGATTTTTATTAGTAAACATCGATGGATAAAATTATTTTAAATACTGAAAACTTGGGATGATCCAAGTGATAATATAATAACATAATAGTACATTCAGTGAATCGAGAAAAACTGCAACTACTGAGAGAAGTGTCCTCGTTCTCTGTGTCTTTCTTTTGAAGAAGTAGAACCCAATTACTCTTTTAGCAGTTCTAGTCATCCTTCATGAATGACGAACCTGAAAGACTCAAACATTAGGAGAATAATTAGCAACACCAGTCATGTTATGTGTTAGTTTACTAACAGATAACATGTTACACTTAAACAAAGGGACATGTAACACAGATCCCAGAGTTAGACCAGTTGTTAACACAATTAATTCTTTAATAGTAATAGAGTTACAAAAGTTATCGACAATTTTAACTATATCTTTCTTAGAGCATGGATAATATGCTGAGAAAGTTTAAGAGCATCCAATTATGTGGTATGTGACACCTGAATCAATCATTCATAAACTAGAAAAAGAATTGAGTGCTATAGAAGTGATACATTTACGGAAGTGGGAGGTTGACGGGTCGGAAGTTTACTAATTAGATTCAAGTAATTTGATTAATTGCTTTATCTGACTCTTAAGAGTCGAGTGATTCCGGAGTGTTTAGAGTAGGAGCTGGTAGTGTCGTTGTAGATTGAGATGTTATAATGAGACCCTTGGCAGAGGAGGATTTGGTAAAAGTTTTGTATGCTAGTTTTTCATGGAGTTTCCATCACTTTTCTCGAGTATGGTTGGGTTTGTGACAACAATCACAAGTGGATTTAGTGGCTCGTGGAGGGTTTGACGATCGTTGAATACTATTAGCGGCCAAGGCAGATGATTCGACTGAAGTGAAAGTGCCGAGCATGACAATTCTCTGGCTTTCTTCGCGTCGAATTTCTGTAGTAGCACGAGCGGAATGAAGGGGATCCCAGCCAAGGCTATTACCCTAACGTCAAGGTATTTGTTAAGGCTTGCCAAAAATTGAAACATGCGATTTTTTTCTACATTTTTTTGAAAGAGGGAAAGATCTATTGTGATTCCCATGTGTAGTCATAATGGAGATCGCATTCCATCCTTAAGGCTACTAAATCATTGTAGTACTGGGTCACTGGCCTCAGTCCCTGTTTCGTGTCGTGAATTTTCTTGAAAATTTCATAAAGTTGGATGGAGTTCCCTACCTCTGAGTAGATGTCTTGAACTACAGTGCACAAGGCACTGGTAGAAGGAATAAACATATATGAACGACCAAAGGGGATAGCATTTGAGGCATATCACTCTCATGTAGCTGTGGGTAGCCCTAGCTTGTTACAAGTTCAGCATGAGGAGCTTGCCAAGCGGGTCATGATGCTAAATGAAGAGCTCCGACAAATGCGTGAAGGCCAGTAGAGGGTTGAAAATGGTCTAGCACCTCTGACAGAGTTTTGATCGTCGCCGGGGCAAGTGACATATGAGTGCTATTGAGGAGGATGATGAGGAGGAGCAGCATGAAGAACATGATTAGGTTTTTTATTATTTCTTTTATATATTACTATATTTTTTTATGATGTAGTTGTGAACTTGAACTTTGAACACTTTGATTCGTCTATCTTTAATTTAATTTGATATCATTTTTTAGATATGTTATTGATTTCGCTTATGAGTTCTGAGGATAGATAAATGTCATATTAAGTTGCTTGTGTTTGTTCTAGGCAGGTATTCGAAAATTTAAGGGGTTGTTTGGTATCAATTTTTATTTTTGGTTTTTTAAGTTTGAAAAAAAGGAAAAAAACAAAAAAAAAAAACAGTGTTTGCTTATCTGTTTTTTATTTTGGAAGAACACTTCTATTTTTATAATACAAAAAATTTGAAAAAATATTTTTTTCTATTTTTAAAAAATTCAAAACAACAAGTCTTGCCTGACCCTGCCCACCTTCGCCGCCTCCGCCCACAAGTAATGTTTCGTATTGGATGTAGTAAGGAAGACGTTGTATACGTCATTGATGACAAAACTTAATATTGGAGTGTACGTGGTTCCGATGTTTTATAAAAGTATAGTTTTTTCTTTAAAAAAATAAAAAATACCAAACTAAACATGTTTTATATATTATATTTTTAAGAACATATAAATCATAACAGTACTAAACGTATTTTTTAACATAGAAAATCGAAAACAGAAAACAAAACAAATATAAAATGGACTAAAAACAAAAATAAAAATAGAAAACAAAAAGTGATCCCAAACAAACCCTAATCGTTCTATTGTTTTTTTTTCTTTTTGCTATTTACAAGTTAATGTTGGAAAATAAATGGGCAATATTTTGTTTGATACTTGATCACGCAAATTCAACGCTATTTGGTGAAATAGCGTCGGAATTGGCCGACGGTAATTTTAGCGTCCATAGCCGACACTAATTAGCACCGACTTTGGTGGACGCTAATTAGCGTTGGATGATTCTGACGCTAAAACAACGTTAGCCTAGCGACAATCAAATTTTCGATGCAAATTCAGAGCAACAGAATCTTTTGATGTTATAAAATATCCGTCGTAAATGTCGGCGTAAAATTGATTAACGACGCCCGTTTTAACGGTCATTTTTCTAACGCTAAACTCAATTATCGTCGGAAATAAGTCATTTTAGCATCATAATGTTCGATTCTAATCCTGTAATTTCTTGTAGTGATATCTAGCGAGAAGATGTACGATATCTTTGATAAATATGTGTTTCTCCAGATCCGGATCGGGACAAGCAAGGAGACCCACAACACCGCCTTTGTTGTCTGCGAAGACATATAACACTAAGGGTGTTGTCGATCATCTCTTCGGATTCAACGTTGCAAACTGATATCATATCGTATTGTATTGAGAGCAGTTCACTGGTCTATATCTTCCCAGACAACAGAGAGTGTCGGTGGCAGAAGAAAAAACTATAGGGAAGATGACAGCAATAAGGTTCAATCCTAGCTCTGATACCATGTAGACTTTTGAAATTGAGCAAGATAATTTTATTGATAGAAAAAGGGGTATAAATACATATTACAAGACCCAAATAAAAGGAAAGATAAATTTAGAAATAGACCTACTAGAAAATACATAAATGTGAAAACGGAAAATAAATGAAGCAAATAAAAGTCAATAATAACTGCAACAGTAATTAGGCTAATAATACTAACAATATCTACAAATTAGGCGAGTTATTTTGGTTTCTGCATAATCTTTTTTTAAGTGATCAAGCACACGTTAATCTCTTTTTTTTTTTAATTTATTTTAAGCAATTACTCATTGTATCAAAATATTTGGTTAATTAAGCATAAATTCTATGAACCATTAACTATAAAGCTCTACTCATAGTTGACATTTTGTTAGATCAACCTGAGTGACATAATTGACTGATTCTTTTGAGTTTCTCTCTGTATTTTTTATTTCTTGGGGCATTTTATGCTGATGCACAAATACTCACACATACACATATCCTTATTCAACTTAATTGTTTGAAATTATAAAGGATTTTGTTTTTGCTTGATTAATGTTGCTACTAGTACACAGGTGTTTATGTAAAGAAAAAAGAAAAAATAATTAAAAAAAATTACTATAATGAACAATATCATCAAAATAAGTATATGTAATACTAATAAACATTATAGAGTCATGCTTGAATCTGAGCATATCAGAGAATATGGGAACACAGACCAAGCAGCCAGAGAACTCATAAGCAATTATATATTCAGATTAAATATAAGGCTACTACACATATTAAAAATGAATTATAATATGGTAATTATTTTTAGTCCCACATGAAATTACTGAAAAACATATTGGTGTAGTAATATGATGTAATTGACGTCTTAAATTTTTGGGCAGAAAATGGACTTGCTATTGATATATCATGGTAAACTTTGGACCCTCAGGTTTACACTCCCTAACAGAAAGGATTTGACATGCAATAGGTTTGATCTTTTGCTTTTTAGCCTTGGTCTCTGAAGAGTTTACCCCTACGTGTTTTAGTTGGCTAACATTGAGACAAAATTAGTTAGAATATCACTTTATGATTTTTAAACTTAAACTGGTCTAAAATAGCCATCTTTATGAAATTCATGGAGGGTTGAATCCATGCCTTAGTCCAGATTCTTGAGAAATCTTTTTTATAGATGTCTCTTTGAATGACTGGATCTTTTTCTTTGTGTTTATGCTCATTTGAATCATCATGCATTGTCTTATCAACTATTTGAAGTTTTAAATCACAGGTAATCCGCCCTCGTCATGGTGAGGAGTATACGGTGAATGAACTAAACTCGGTGGGATGGAAATATGATAATACACCACAGGTAACAATGTGATTGAACTATTGTGCTTTGTTTTTCACCTTTTGCACCTGCAATTTTTGAGAGTAATTAAGTTCTATACCTAATGCTGTGCAATGTAATTATCCTATTCAATTAATGCATTTTAAAAGTTTCCATTGAAGTTTTGCCCAACACAATACCAAATTTTTTTTTTGTTGGTTGTTTCTACGCCTTAGTTTGGTGGAATTCTCCACTTTCTGAATTTTTTTGTTGTTTTACAGTGATGACTCATTTGTGATATTTTCTTTTTGGGATAATTACATTTATTTCAAAGAAACATCACTATTTACAAAATCCAGCGCTCATGTGAAATTTTTGACCTACCGAACCGATGTATTTACGTGTGCCACAATCAAACATTTGAGAATTTGATAAAATTGAAAAATATGGATTGGGGTTCTATCATGAATTTTGATATTTGATTGAGAATTTGAAAAATGGATGAAAGTGGGTGTTAGATTTGTAACTAGCAACGTTTTGGACGCTATGTATGTAGACAGCCCTTTTTTTCTTCTGCCGAAAAAGTTGGACAATAATTTTCTTATATCTATGCACTTAATCTCATAAATTTGTCTATGCTTTCCAACCTCTTTTCGAAGTTTTGTAATTCCATTATAACATTGTACTTGATAGAAAAACTCTCTTTGGCACCCCCACTCAGATTCTCGTGCCAATTGCCAATGGTTCGGAGGAGATGGAGGCAATAATCATCATCGACTCACTTCGTCGAGCCAAAGCTAACGTCATGGTCGTCTCCGTTGAAGAAAAACTGCAGATCGTTGCGCGCTGGAATACTAAAATCGTAGCTGATGGTCTCTTGGACGAAGCTTCTAAATTGCAGTTCGACCTCATAGTTCTGCCGGTTAGTTCTCTCTCCTTTGTGCATAATAAATCACCATCTTTTCCTCCCCTCTATCTACTATCTTAAGTACTCACAGGGAGGGCTTCCTGGAGCAGAAGCATTCTCCAATTCAGAAAAGCTTGTAAATTTACTAAAGAATCAGGCTGAATCAAATAAACCTTATGGAGCAATATGCGCCTCTCCAGCAATCGTCCTTGAGCACCATGGCTTGTTAAAGGTAACAAAAATTTTACCTGGAAAGTTCTGAAATCTCTCTCTCAACTTCATAAAATTGTATAAAGATTTACTTACATAACACTTGATTCCTATGTATTTACATATCTAACACCCAAACTTCAATTACGTACATATACTATCTTACCCATGCATGAAAAGGTGCATTTCACTTTTTAAAAGTTAAAATGGTAGTATTTTTGTAGTGATACTAAATATTTGGGAGATATAAAAGTTAAAATTAATGTCTAGGGGCTAGATATGTCAATACATAGGAATTTGGTGGTATGCATGTTAATGCCCCAAAATTGTATTTTTTGAAATGAAACTTCAAAACTGAGGCAGGGAAAGAAGGCGACGGCATTTCCACCCTTGTGTGAAAAGCTCACTGATTTGAGCGAATCCGAAAACCGTGTGCTGGTCGATGGAAATCTGATTACAAGTAGAGGGCCAGGTACGGCGATGGAGTTTGCGTTGGGTATCGTTGAGAAATTTTTTGGACGCGAAAAAGCGCTTGAGCTTGCGAAAACAATGGTTTTTGTGTGAAGCTTGGAGTCTAGTTTGTTGCTGATCTTTCAACAAGTATGTTGTTTATATGAGTGGATTAGATTATAAAGTTTTGAATACTGAATCTACTTCTTTGGCTTTGTATGAGATAACTGCTTTTCTGCTGCTGAATGTTACATTTCTCACTGTTATGATTTAGATGCAAGGTTTCTTATGAGTAGTGTATTCTATTCTATAGTATTTTAATTGATAAAATTAATTATTTATAATTGCCTTCGAATTTGATATTTATATTTACAACACTCGTGGCATAAACTTATACATGAAAAGGTGCATTTCAATTTGAAAAGATAGTAATATTGATATTCTTGAGAACGAAAACTCTGAACCCAAATCAGGCAGATTTCTTCATCACTTATCAATCAGTATTCTGATAAACCAAATAAGCATACAAAATCTCATTCCAGGTATCAGGAACACCTGGAAGGCACCAATGGATGCAATCTGCATAAACATTTGGCTCTGATCTCTGCTCTCTGGTCAATAATTTCCCTCTTCTCTCTGTAAAAACTGAAGTGTGGCCATCTTTTCTGAATTCTGATAGCTGTGTTATATTTAGAATTGTCACATTTATCATCTTAATTCTGCTAATTGCATCTTTCACTGCTCCCATCACCTCCAGGCTTGATCCTGCTCCCCAGAATGGCCCTTTGATAGGGTATGTCTCGTTATGGCAGTTTCCTTCGCTCCCCCGTCTCCATTCCCAGCTCCTGGTGAGAAAACATCATAGAAAACTAAATTATGCAAAGGTGCGAACGAGTGAGTCTTAACTCGAGCCGTCATCTGATTGAGCTTCAGCTTAATTAATTAATCAAGTTTGCTTGATGGCTTGAGCACATATGGATATTTACATGAGTAAAGCAAAAAATAAAAACTGGCTTTTCTTGTGATTTAGAGTTTACCAAAGGTGAGTAGGAGACAGAGTCATGAAGAATGCTTTCTGGGTTTGAGGATTGAGTGTCGATTCAACCCAATCAGTCCAAGTTTTCAGTGCTAATCTGTAAGCAGTTGGCACAGCATATTCTCTTATTTCCTCTGATCCAATTCTGCAAAATTTGAGAAAAACTTGGTCAAATGTTAAGAAGAACTAGAATTACTTTGAGATTTGATGCACTAACAAGAGACTATTGATCAATGTGACCGAGCGCTCCATTTTTAGGGACTCGGGTTTGAATATAGAAATTGATACGTGCATGTGTATTTTTTCTTAGCCACGTTCAGCATTCAAACATGACATACTTGGGATTCTTCACTTTGTTTCGGACCAATATTTTCTACATTCAAGCATATATGTGCGTGTGTATCACGATTAAATCACTCACGTTGCATTGATGAGAGGCTGATACATCCACCACACATAGCTCTCGAACACCAAGTGGTCAACCCCTTGCCATTGTCTGCTGTGGTTGGAGATTGAATCCAGCCTCACCATCCTCTTCTGCACCCTGTGCTTTGTTGCATGATCACTATTTGACTCGACGAGGAATGGTGCCCAGTAGAATTCAATCGATGCATTGTAATCCTGGAGAGAGAGATGATAATATTTTTTGGGGAATTGGTCAAATTTAAGTTTGATTTGAAATGAATGAGATTTAATAGGCTTGAATCTATTTAATTTAAATTCATATACACATAGTTGGTAGGAATATTTGGTCCATTGTTATGTTTTATCATCAATTTTGATATTTGAGTGAGATTCTGAAAAAAAAAAAAGGATGAAAGAGTGGGCTGAAAGAGTGTGCTAGATTTGTAAATAGCAAGAAGAATTGCTGCTAACCTTGGCAAAGAAAACTTTTCTGGGGGGTTTTTTATAAAAAAGCTTGTTGCCATCAGGAACTGCAGATTGAAGGAGACAAACCATAGATTCCCACTGAGTTCTCTGAATAGAATCTCCCACAAACATAAGCCTTTTGTTCCTCAGACTGTGGAGTAGCATGAAAGCATCAAAAGGAGGCAAGGTGCAGCCATATGGCTTCCACCTCCATTTCTGATATAGGAAGTCGGGCCTCCCGTTGGTCCTGCAGGTGACCTGTTGGGCCGTTAACGAACCAATTTCGAGTAGTTATCAGCTCAAAATTAATTTGAAAAAATTTCAATCCAAAATTTTGGGTCGTACTTCAGCTCATATATTTCAATCCCATCTTGTCTCCGTCCGAGCCAACATTTGAATTAATTTTCGAGCGATTACTATCTTTAAGCTAAATTCGTTAAATTCACGGCCCTAACATCACAAGGGCGGTTAACGATTAGCTCAAAATTGGATCGAAAATTTTAGCTCGTTGTTCGGCTCATTTATTTCGATCTGATCTTGATCCAAGCCAAAATTTGAATCAATTTTCGGGGATTAACAATCTTCTAGCTAAATTCACAACCCTAGTCACCTGCTTGGTCAAGTAAGGGCAGCTTTGTTCGGTGTAGAGAGGGCTAGAGCTGGGGTGTTCGAGCAGCCATTTGCCTTGGAAGAGATTGCAGCCATTGTTGAAGGAGATGGAGAATTCCTTGTTGTGTTGGGTTTGGTGTGAAGAAGATGAGAGTTTGATGGCTGTTTTTAGGGTGCGGAAGAGGAAGATGGAGCATAAGAGGAGGGGAAGTAGTGTTAGTGTGCTTCTCATTTTTTGGGCGGGGGGTTGAAGAAGATGGCTTATTTTATTAAGATCTTTCGTTTTTTATTTTTTGTTTGTGTGTGTGGGCATTTACAAACAAACCCCTCAATTCTTATATTCTTACATATCTAACCCCTCACAAATCGTTCATACAACACAAAGAAAAAACATAAATATTTTCAATTTTTAAATGATGGATTATATATTTTCATTCATAAATAAAACGAAATATGTGAAAATACATAAGAATTGAGTGGTTTGCATGGAATTATTCTGCAATATTTTTAAATTTATTTTTTTAAAAAAATTGATTTAGTTGGTGAATGTGTGTGGCACATTACCTACTTCATATATCTGGCTAAAATTGAAATTGAAGGTTCTTCTCTCGTCTTCTTTAAGGTTTAAGACTTGGAGAGGAAGGAAAGAAAGTTGAGTGAAGAAGTGGGTGGTTAGCTGCCTTCATTGGCAAATACATGCCTCATGTGCTAAGTTATGTGTGGCACATTACCTACTTCATTTTTCTGGCTATAACTGAAAGTTCTCTCCTATTCTCTCTACACTGTTTTCATCTACACGCCCTAATCCCTTCTTTTTAGCATACATATAAATAAATGAATTTAGGTATAAGTACATACAAAGCACTCGAAAAATTATTATTTATAAAACCTAACAACCGATTAATAATTTCAAGTAACCAAACTGATGTATTTGATGTATATTTACATGTTCCACAATCACAGAATTTGATATAAATGTATTAAAAAGGGTGCCTGATTATATATAATATATATTTAAAGAGTTTTTAACGATGCATGAAAAGTTTTTTTTTATTTTTTAATAGTAATAATAATAATATTGATGTGACATGAAATGTTAATATAAAAAGCAAATTGCATGTATTATACATGAAAATTCATTAAAAATTGTGGTATTCATGTAAATTTTACTTTTTTTTATATATTTATCTTCTTTTCCCTTAAAGGAAAAGCAGATTTCAGCGCCCAGCTCTTTATATGCATACATTTCCAATCACACCCATAATTTTTAGGGGAATTTACATACATAGCACCCAAATCTTGTGCTATTACTTAACCTTGATTTTTACATCCAAAACATCCTACCCATATAAATAATAAAATTTACCTTTTCATACATAGAACATTATCCTTTAGCTTGTATAAATCAAAATTTATGTGTGAGATAAGATGTCCATAATTTTTAATTCAAAGCTTTTAACTTTTACAATATAAAATACAGGGGCCACAATTCTTGTGGATTTACATATCTAACAGCTAAAGTTTAATATTTACATTTACAGCACCTTGATACCATAAACCTATGCAAAAAAATTAATAGTGATATTTTTAATATGATATTAAAGATTTGAGTGTTAAGAACGCAAATATCAAATTTTAGGTGTTAGAGATGTAAATAGATTAGAATTACGTGGCATTAAAGAACCAACCTTGATAGATAAACTTCACAACAGATGAAGATTGATTCCCACAGCTGCAAAAGGCTTCAGCAAACTGCACTAATCAAAAAGGTTTCATAAAACTGATCACCAATTGAAGCCGAAATAAACATAAACTCAGAAACATATAAAGATTGAACACATTAAACTACTAGCGATTATTTTTATTCAAACAAATGATATAAACTCAGGCAAATTCATAGCAGTAACATATATAAACCTGAAGGTTTTAACTTGAGTTAATGCATACGGTAACACAACATTAGAAAGCATTCTGTTTATTGGTTGGATACAATCCCCGGTTAGAACCAAAGCAATTTTTTGTTTTTTTTTTCCCTCCAAGATAAAATGCATTAAACTGTAAAACCAAAATGTGGAAAATTGCATAAATAAATTCTGCAGCGATTAATTCTCACTGGCGAATTTAATCCCTTTCTCAATGGAGGACTTGAGCTCGGATTTGAGACCTTCCAAGCCCTGCTTCTCGAAATCAGAGAGAGGGCCCAATCCAAGCACTTCTTCAACACCCCTCTTTCCCAGCCTTACCTGCACAGTATGAAAAACAGAAAAACTCTTCAGGTTTTATGTTTCATGGCTGACCTTATGTTGGTTAAACTGCTGCTAAAGTAATACTAAATAAAAATTTAGGCTAATCATTAATTTCTTCATTCAATACTAATGTGAGACTATTTGCAAAAAAAATATATAAAATCACACACACACATATTATGATTGTTTATCAGGTTTTATGTTTCATGGCTCACCAAAATGTTGGTCGACCTTATGTTGGTTAAACTGCTGCTAAAGTAATACTAAATAAAAATTTAGGCTAATCATTAATTTCTTCATTCAATACTAATGTGAGACTATTTGCAAAAAAAAATATAAAATCACACACACACATATTATGATTGTTTATCTATTAATCCTTCCTAATTCCATTTCTCATGTCCACCAAGCACACCTTGACTAACAACAAATTTCTATCCTTGACCACCAACCCCAAAATGCAAACAAAATTGTCATTCCTGGGACAGTTCTATGAAAATACTATGATATTCTCTTATCAAATAATACTCATAAGAAATTTCTTCCATTTAATTATCTAGCATTAACTGCTACGATTCATTGATATTAACTTACACTTTCATCTATTGCTTATTCTAATGTATAAAAGACCCTGACAATCACACCACAACTAATTACTCCTTTTATATTCTAATTAATTCTAAGCCCTTATTTTCTAAGTATATTCCATACATCAAATTTCACTTATTTCAATAAATAACTCACCGGTTAGAATTAGTTTATCGAAAAAGCATATTGCAAGGCACCTTTGAATATTTCTGTAGCCACTGTTATAGGAATACAAAATATATAGATTCGATGTCAATATTTATTGTAATCTAATTATAATTAAAAGTTCCTTGGTCACTCCACAACGACCTGTAGTACTAACCCGTAATCAATCTTGATTAACGCATCTTTAATAAATATAAAGAACCTTTTATAACTTTTTTCCACTTAAAATACAACAAATCAATTATCATGATAATAGATCACATGCATCCTTAAGCTTAATACAAAACATATTAAAAAACATATTATTATGTTTTATGAATTTTTATTATTTGTCTTACCAAAAATGCATCGCTGGTGGATCTTCTTGGCATTAAAATTTGTAAAATTTTAATTTATGTTCATAAAAATGTAAGCCATTCATTTAAAAAAGCAAATTGATATTACAAGCTATATATATGTATATAAAAATTCAAATCCTCATATTTATGCACCTAAATATTTATATCCTTTTTAAAACTAGACAATTTAAATCAATCTCACACTAGATTTTACATAGGCTAAGGGATTCTACTTTTCCTCAGAAACTTGTCTTCAAATTTAAACAAAAATAATTATCTTTGCTCTTTATTTTGATCACTGTTCTTCATGCAGTCCGGATAAACAACAATAAAGATATTCTGTGTTATGTAAATTTTTTTTCTTGGAACATCTTGCCATCTTTGAAAAAAAACATCCTTCTTAACAGAAGGGAAGTTCATTTAAGATTTAGTGGTTGCATTTTTTATCAAATAATTAATAATCCTTATATTTTAAAGTAAGCATTCGCTTCTACAAAATCATAACATATCGTGATATAAAATGTGAATTCTATCATTGATTTATATCTTCCATCCATGCCCCTCTCATAGTCATCCTACTAGAATCAATATGTCTATCCAAGTTGGCCAATAACTATTTCATTGTTCTCCATAGGAATATGTTGAAATGGTTTGCAGATCTCCTCAAAATTAATTATTAAACTTTCTTCTAACCAACCAAAAGAAAATATACACCAACCATATATATTATGCCCTTATTGACAATTAACTTTAATGGTGACCAACATCATTAATTATATTAAACTAAATAATTTTAAATTTTACTCATTCACAACCGCCACAAACCTATTTAAATTATTTTAAAATTTTAAAACACAATAAAGTTTCTTCCTCAACAACCTTTAATTCTCATTACTTAGTTCCTAGCAAATATAAATTTACTAATCTTCTAAACATTGTGTCCACAAATTATCATGCCTTTCCATCAAAATCCCTATACATGTAAATCAAATATGAGTTTTAGACCCAGGTAAAACCCTTCCTTCATGTCCATCATAATTGCGTCAAATTATGGTACATCACTTTACTAGTAATGCTTTAATTGACCTCTATAGATTTTTCATCCTAAGCGGGTTAAGGAGCATCCAAGCAAACGCTTATTTACCTTTCATTGCTAACATGTTATGTCATAGATTTTGGATTCATTTTATAAATCACCATAAGTTTTAGAATTAGCTATCAATGTCAGATCGTGTAGGTACCCCCACATTCAGAAGAATGAGAGTGAAGTTGATTTGAAAGATGCTCAAGCTGGGATCATAAGGCCTAGCGTAAACCCTTTTTCCAGTCCAATCCTGTTGGTGAAGAAAAAAATGATAGTTGGAAATCCTGTGTGGATTACTGAGCTTTGAACAAGGAGACGCTATTAAATAATTTTCCTATTCCTGTGATTGATGAGTTACTGAATGAACTTTATGGGGCAGTCATTTTCTCGAAAATTGATCTTAAGTTGGGATACCGCCAGATCATAATGAATCCAGTAGATGTGCACAAGACAACGTTCAAGACACATGAAAGACATTAGGAATTTTTAGTGATGTCGTTTGGCCTCACCAACACCCTGACGACATTTCAGTCCCTCATGAATAGGGTTTTTTTTCCCTTACCACTGAAAATTTGTCTTGATATTCTTTGATGACATTATGATCTACAATCGTACAGAGACAAAACATGTTCAATACACAAAGACAGTCCTAGAACGTTGAGGAAGCACCAATTGTATGCCAACTTGAAGAACTATTCTTTTGCATAGTTGCAGATGGACTACCTAAGACATGTGACCAGAAAAGGGTAGCAGTGAATCAGTCCAAGATCGAGGCTATGGTTGATTAGCTCTTATCAAGGAGTTTGAAGGAGTTCAGAGGATTCATGGATCTCCCCAGCTACTACTGGAAGTTCGTGAGAGGATATGACACGATAGCATGACCACTAACGAAGGATTTGAAGAAAGACAATTTTAGATGGGAGGAAGCAGCAATAGGCATTTAAACATCCAAAGAAGATCATGACTAGCGTCATGGTATTAGCAATTTAAAAATTCAATAAACTACAATGGTGGAAACGGATGCTTCAGGGTACAAATTTGGAGTAGCGCTCATGTAGTGGTTGATTGCCTACTTCAGCCAGATTCTTATGGCCAGGGCGTGGGTTAAGTCAGTATACTAACAAAAATTGATGGTGATCGTCTTGGCTTTTCAAAAGTGGCGGCCCTACTTGCTGGGATGGCATTTTTTGTTCATGACAAATCATAAGAGTTTAAGGTATCTTCTGGAGTAGCTGATGGTGACTGAGAAGCATTAGAGATAGTTATCCAAGCTAATGGGGTATGATTTCAAGATTTAGTTTCGGGTAGGATTGGAGAACAAAGCAGCTGACGCATTACCGAGAAACGTGGACGAACCCCAATTGATACCCTTGGTCCTAGATTGAGAAACCTTGAAACAGAAGAGCGAACGGGATGAGGAGCTGAGGAAGATAAGGGCTAAGCTACTACAAGACTCAAACAATCATGTACGATATGCGTTGAGGGGGCAGTAGCTGCTCCAACATAGGTGATTAGTGCTACCCAAGGGGTCAGAATCTATTCTCAAATTGTTACATAAGTTTCATAGCAATATGATCGAGGACATTCAGGGTACAGAAGATCTACAATTATCTAGCGACAGAGCTTTATTGGGTGAGAATGCACAGAGACGTCAAGGATATGATGACAAAATGCGATATATGTCAGCGACACAAGTGCTTGACCGCAGCACAAGCACTTGACCACGACACCAAGAGGTTTACAACAACCATTAGCATTACCCGGAAGATTTGGGAAGTGATGATGGATTTTATCCACGGGTTGTCAAGGTCAGAATGGTTCACGATGATCATGATGGTCGTAGATCGCCTGAGTAAATATGCACATTTCATTCTCTTACGGCACCCCTACACTGAGATCTCAGTTGCAACGGTATTTATCTGGGAGGTGGTTCGTTTGCACAGAATGCCTGAATCGTAGTATCAGATAGGGACAAGATGTTCCTCGGCCACTTCTAGAAAAAGCTATCCAGATTGCAAAGGGACAATCCTTAAGAGGGCCACTGCATAATATCCCTAGACCGATGGGCAGATGGAAGTGATCAACAAGAGCGTGGAGACATATCTGCCTTGTTTTTTATCTAATACGCCAAGTGGATTGTGTGGACCAAATATTTGTATAATACTTTGTATCACACATCAACATAAACCACCCTTTCAAAATATTGTATGGGCATGATCCATCTCACTTGATACATTATGGGCATAACACTACACCAATATCCAAAGTCAATCAGTATTTGGATAGGAACAAGATACTAGCAGAGAACAATGAGAGGGGTGCAGTTTGAACTAGGAGACATAGTCTACTTGAAGTTGAGGCCCTACAGACAAAAAACATTGGTCAGGAGCAAGAAATTTTTACCGTGATACTTTAGACCATATGAGGTGATGATATGCATCTGGTTAGTGGTTTATTGTTTGATGTTATCATCATCGTCCGCACTACACCCAATCTTCCATGTGTAACAGCTGAAACGTGCGATTGGAGATCAGACACCCTCGTCTACACTACAGCTAACAACGGCGAAGGGCTTGTAGGTGATTCTAGAGCCATTAGAGATCAAAGGAATGTGTCGAGGAGTAGGGGGAGCAGAGGAGGTATTCATTAAGTAGAAAGGACTATCGGACTATGACTTAACATGAGAGCCTTACGACGTAATTCACAAACAGTTTTTATCCTTCCTCTTTCAGGGCAAGTTAATTTTTTTTGGGAAGAGAGTAGTGTTACGCCCATACTTGAGCCGGTCCATCCTGTACCGACTGAATGGACAGCCGGCCTGC